CCTGTGCTTGGTAAGGGCGGAGAAGCTGGAGGTCGGTTTGCGCTCCGGACAGCCTGCCACGGCGTGGGGCTTTCTGCCGTGGTGGCGTGATCTCGGATGGCCAAGGTTCTCTCGGACGCGTGCGGTAATCGTGGCTGGCTGGAAAGGAGGTGTAAACAAAACGTACTGCAGGTTTGTTGGGGGGGGGAGATTTTTTTCCTCATCTTTGAAGCTTGCAAATACCATTCAGGTGCTTTGTACGTCCCATATCCTGATTGTTCCTAACCTTTCCTTTCTCTTCTGTGCGAAGGCAGTGTCTTAGTGCTGCCTGAGCTGTGACTCCTGCCTGTTGAAGTAGGTGTTGTACGTGTGATATCATCTTCCAGCAATGTTAGGGATGCTTTTGGTCTCGGTGCCTTTTTTTTTTCTTTTTTTTTTTTTCCCTAGAGCTAAGTGTTTCTTTTAGCTCAGTTGCAGTCAAATACCATAATTAAATAGACTGCATCTGCTTGAAGTCTTAGCTACTCATTTTGCTAATGCCCTCAGACAGATGCTGAATCGTCTGAGAGACGGTTGCTGCTGTGTTGAGCTCCCCAGTTCTCAGGAATGATGACTCTGCAGGAAGAGGAAGTTGGTTGTAGAACAAGTACTGCCTCCATACCAAATAAACCATGTTAAAAGCCTCTTCACCCTGCTGAAATGACGATTTCTTCTGGAAAATGGTCAGTGTTTGCTTCTTGGTGCGCGTGGCCAAGCTCAGGGAATGTTTGGGGGTTTTTCCCTGTAGTTTTGCAGTTCTGTTTCACCCTATCCTCTTCTCCGCGCCGGTCCTCTTCTCCGCGCTGGGCCCTGCAGCCACGGCCTGACCCCGGCTCGAGAAACACGTCCAGCGGGAGGGACGGTGCCTGGCTGCAGTCTCAGGCCAGCACGGATACGAGTGCGGTCACCGCAATCAGACAGATCCTACAGAAAAATAAGTAGGAACAGAGTCGTACCGTGCTGAGGATGCTGCCGGTCCTCCGGGGAGCTGTGCGGAGGGCGACACTCGTGCTTCTTTATGGCTTGTTTGTTTTAAAGGACGTTTCTTTCTCCGTCTCCAGTGTAAGGAAATCATTGCGTGCAAGTACTTCTCTGGGACTGATTTCCTGCTGGAAATAGCTGCAGACTCAGCACCTGCTGTGCACATTGCTCGTTACTTGGAGGCCGGTCCTGCCGTTGCTCCGGACGTGGCACCGCGACAGGGTGGGCGCAGTTCCCTGGTGCTTCCGCCCTGCCGGGTCGCCTCAGTGTTTTGCCGCAGGATGTGGTGAGGCCGTGACACAGCTCTCGGTAACCAAAGCTGCTGCCTCGTGCTCAGATGTCCCTCCATGTCATTCGCTACTTCCTCTAACCATGTAGTATGTCCACATGTCTGTGGTACGATCAAACACCTCCTAGGGACACGTTTGGGGGGGGTGGGGGTGTTTC